AAGAGAGGTTAAAGAGTCAATGTCTAGGGATAAAAGTTCGTCATAGTCAAGTTCCAGTAATTCAGAAAATCGAGTCCAGTCAGTCCTTTGGGATTGAATTTTGAAAGGTTTTTTGTAGTAGTGAAGTTTATTGTTGTCATAGATTATGTATATTGGAAAATGGTCCGATCCGAGAGAGTCGTCAGTGACTTTAACCTTCAATAAATGTGCTATATTTGTAGTGGAAAATACTAAATCGATGTTGCTTTTATGATTATTACTATTTTTTATACGAGTAACCGAGTTATTATTATGCAAAAATAAATCAAATTTCTCAGATTGTTCTTGTAGCCTAATGCCATTAACATCGGTATCGACGTAGTTCCAAGACTGATTGTGGGAGTTGAAATCCCCTACAAGTATAGTTCGAGGTTTAATTATGACGTTACTTACAATATTTTGCCATTCATCATCATTAGTATGTGGTAGTATCTGGTCAAGTAGTATCTGGAGGTTTGTAACAAGCAATAATAGTCACTGGTTCTTTTAGGTTTATAATTTCAACTCCGCACAGCTCAGTGTAATTATCCACGTAAACTAGGTTTTTTATTTCAACGTAGTTGTAAGATTTCCTTATCAAAAACACTATACCCCCACCAGTCGCGTAATCTCTATCTTTACGTAGTGTATTAAATCCGGGATAATTGAACATAACGTCGTCTTTAAGCCATGACTCTACACAAACCAAAATATCGACGTCTTGAATGATTTTGGCTATCTCCTCTTTTTTGTTACAAACACTTCGTGAGTTCCAATAAAGAATTCGCAAGTCAGTAGGGGAAAAGAAGCTATTTTCGCGCGTTTTCATAATGTTTATGAATATGGACCTTGTCACTTATACTTCTCCGGATTGGTCGGTATCTTCTTTTTCGCTATCCCAGTTTGATGAGTTGGGGTTGTCGACTTCCATAGTTTGTAGGTCCTTCTTAGACAGCTGATTGATGGTGCGAGTGATTCTATATTTAATCTTGCTACTTTCCATATTTTTATGCAGTTCTGTCAACATGAGGATGAATGCATCATTGTTTTCTATTTTTTGGGATTCCATCAATTTATGTAAATCTGCATATTTATATTTATACGAGTCAACAATAAACTCAGTGAGTTGTTCGAGAGTCATCGGAAAAGCTTCTATCAACTCTGATTCTATTTTGACTGAGGCATCCTTGATTAGAGTTTCAATATCGCTAGGCGGCGTACTTTGATGGGTGATTTTTTTTTTCTTTTTCCTATTCACTTTCACTTTAGGCGTACCATCAAAGGTGAGTTCTGCACTATTGATATTCTGATTAGCGGTAGAAGAACCTGAGGTGGAGATAGTTGCCGGCCTCTTTATCCCCATGCCGATACCTTTATCTGTATCGGGTTTCTGGAAGATGTTTGTCCGTTGAATTCGTTAATCGGCTAATATGTGTCTTGCGTATTGAGAGTAAAACTTGCTTCACCTTGAATGTTTTGAGTGGTCTGTATATCAATTTGAGTAACATCAAGTTGCTTTTCATTAGCTTCCAGCGTTGTATTCTGTGACGTACTATTGGGTTTACTTTGACTGTTTTTTACTGCATCTTTAACTACTGAGCAATATCTAGCTGTATGGCCTTCTACGTTACAGTTAAAACATGTGATTTTATCTGTAGATATATATATATGATGAATTGTATCGTCGAAGTTTACTGTGAATTCCTTAGGAAGTTTGTTTACATCTAGTGGATCAATAAATAGCTGACGTCTAAAACTGAGGATTTGCGTGAAACCAATTTCGTCAATACCTAATCTTATAAAACTCATGTTCGATTTTATATTAATGCCTTTGTTATTTAACTCTTCAACTATAACGTCGTGTGGAATGCACGGATGAACGTTGGAAAATATAACCCTCTTCGACTTCGCTACGTAAGGTCTCATTATCACTTCATGGCCATTGATATTAATAACGTTATTACCTTCTTTGGTTAGTTTGTCAACTAAGTTGGCTTCATTAAAGTAGCAACAAAACCTGTTCTGCGATATTCTGGAAGCGGCTACAATGTTGGTTGGTTCGGTTTTCGTTGCAATGGCTTTAAGGTATGATTTTATTTCTACGCCCTCAACTGTATCGATGATGATTCTTCGGGAACATAGTGCTGTTGGTGACAACTTTTGAGAAGGAGGAAACTTTTTTATTCTTATTTTGAACACTCGAGACATTCTCGTCAGGAGTTGTCATTACATTAGCTTTAACATTATCTATTTGAGCATTATTACTGCTCATATTCACAACTTGTCTTTTTCGTATGTTCGCTTATTATATGTTGGGTGTAAGCCAGAGGTGCCGCGGGCAAGCCGCGGCAAAAGTATATAAACACGGTAACGCCTGGCAGAGTTCAACACACACGTCTTACTCGCGCGATAGCTTACACCGTACTGGTTACTACTAGTTATTACTACTTGATCGGTCTTGTCTACGCAGTTATGAACGTATCCATAGCGGTCTTACGATTATCTAGATTTTTGGATTCCAAGGAGGCTGGAGTATGTATCTTCGATGGGTCGACCAGAAGCCTCTCCACGATCTTTTTGTCAGGATCAGGGTAACTAGCGAGCACCTTGTTTTCCTGCGGTGATGAAGTGCTGGAGCTGAACTGGTTTTTATTCTCATAGACAATAACCCAGCCTTACTCAATAAATTATTTACCCAATAAGTTATTAACTATCGAAATTTAATTTACAAATAAAGTTGCACTACATAATTGTAACATTTAGTCAAATATAGCTAAACGTAGATATTGATTTGAGGAAGATAATTAAGCGCTTGATGTTTTGATAATCATTCATTGAACAAAGTTATCAATAAATAAAAAATTATTTAAACAATTAAAGTTATGTAGTGAGATAGTGATCAGTAGGTACACACTTGTAAAATTAGTAAAAGTAATTATTATCCGCTCGTTGATTTTATATTCAAATAAATCAATTTACAAATTTCTTACGTTAATTACACAGCCCGATATCCAAAAAATTCAGAAATACGATAGTATATTTCCGAAGCATTCGATTCATTAAATCCAAATCTAGCTTTAGAATTAATCCATTATCTAAGGTTTTAGAGGTATCCTAACATAAAAGTACAAAAATTATTTGTTGTTTGTGGTTATGTAATACTATGAATAAAAACTTTTTCTATAAATTAGTACCTTGTGCACTTTGAAATCCATATTTTGGATTAGAGATATCTTTTTTTCATCGATATATCATTGATTAATGTCAGTTATTTTAGCAGTTTCGGAACATATTATAATCACAAACTACACGGGTCGGGGATTAAGGCAATTGGGATTCAAGGGTCTGGGGTTATATCATTACAGGTCACAGGGGTTGGAGGTTGATTTAAGATTATTGAGATTGAAGGGTCTGGGGTTACAACCTCTCAAATTACAGAGATTAAGGATTGTAATAATCAGAGTTTAAGAATATGAAGTATGCTAGATACGTTAGCGATTGGGCCGTTTTAATGTTGTTGCGTAATTACTCAAGTACTTAACTTCAATCAATGATATCTCGATAAAAAATTCTAATCCGAAAAATGGCTTTTAATGAGCAAGAGTTCTGCATGGTCATTACTTACTTGTAACTTGTTTTTGGAAAATAAATTTATTCACGGTGTTACATAACTTTGAGCATAGCAAAATATCGTGATTTATGTACTTCTAGGTTAGGATATCTTGAAAACCTAAGATATTAGATTAATCCTAAAGCTAGATTTGGATTCAGCGCTTTTAAGCCTATGGAAATATATTATGGCGTTTCTGCTGATATAGCCAAATCTCAGACAGCGCTTTGAGGTCAAGAATTCTGTCTTCTCAAACTAAATTCTCGAACTCAGTCATAAAAATATAATAATTACTACTGAAATTCCTATACTCTCAAAGTATTTCGGCCAAGATTATTGATGTTTACAGTAGAACACTTTTATCTTATGTCTGGAAATTCAATTTTCAAATTTTAGTTTCAATTTTATAACTTCAATATCATTTGCTGTTAAAATGGAACACATTTGAAATGTTTACTTTATGTCGAAAAGTAACATTTCAACTATTTCACTGAGTTCAAATCTTTCTATTGTTATACGTTACAAACTTATATCATAATAACGTTACAATTCATTAATTACGTTCATGTCATTCAATAATTTGCGCCTAACATAGAGCCCGCGAACAAATGCGTTATTGTCACATCACCCGCTTGCTGTTGTCTTGTTACAATTAATTAATATTTAATAACTACTCATACAGGATCTAAATATTTATTTGCAGATATTTAAGTTGATTATTTTTTTACATAACTTAGAATTTCGGCATAATTTAGTCATTTTAGAATGTCTGTATAAACTAAAAAATTGCATTTTTCCATAAGAGTGCATGTTAATTTTAATAATTAATTTTTGTAGTCTAAGGCTCTAAAGAGTTACTAGTTTTCAATCTTAGTTTAAATGAACTATAATATGTATCAAAACTACAAGTGACTCTCATTTTTAGCACTATTATCAAACAGATTTCTTTAACAATAAGAATCTCAAAGAATAAAAATATGAAGTTTATTGAAAAATTATTTCACAAAAATATACGTCAAAGAAAATAAATAAGGAAAAAGAAGAAAAGCTTTGGTAAAATATTTTTCATAAAAAATAAAAATGTTTCAATCTCACTGAAGATTAGACTCTCATTCTGCGCAAATACTCTGTGAATCTAGCCTCTTTATTTTTAATGATGTACTACAAACACATTAGTTTTACTTTACTAATTCGAAATTAACTTATAGTAAATTATTTTATTATACCTGTAAACTATTATTTATCGATAATTTTATTAGATTTTTTTTTCAATTATTAGGATATTTTTACATAATTACTATATTTATCAATTACGTTGTTAACATACAATTTACATCAAATTCATGATTCATTTTTCTTTTTTCAATTTCAGAAGACACCATTCGCAGCTACAAACACTAATAGTGATTTAGGAAATTTCTATCGCGAATGTCAAAGTGCACCACAACTGCAAACTTTCATTGAAGAGCAAACTTTGGGAGAACAAGTAGGAGATTTAACAAAACAGATAGAAACTTTTGAAACGAACATGCATCTTTATGAAGATTTATTGAATTCTCTTTACAAATCTGAAAATAATAATTGATGATATTATAAGTGATTACATTATTATAAGGTGTTTTTGAAATAATTTCAAGAACTTAGAAATAAGTTTATACTTTAACTTTGATATGTAAATCTGTACAGAAATGTTCATATATAATTAAATAATCTAATATAATAATTAAAAGATTTCTAGTAATAGCTAGATAGCTCTTTTTTGGAAAAGTTAATAAGCTATAAAAGAAAAAAATAGTAGCGGTATTTTCAAAATAAGTTTACTATATTTATATTTACTTATTTATTTAAACCAGATATCAATATCAAAGAAAAATATGATAAGTAATATTATGATAAATAATTAATCTATCGATAATAAGAATTCTCCTAATATTCAAAATGGCGCTTATAATAGTGTAAATATTATTAATTAATAGTGTAAAATATATGAAAATTTCGACAGAAAAAAAAATTCGGTATAATCTACGTGTAATTTCTGAATAAACATGTTTTTGGAAAAATTTAAGCTGCGTGTACTCTTTCTGAAAAAAAATCCTGAAATCTTGAAATTCATTGAAAGTCTGATTTTTTAATAATAAATTTATTCTCAGAATGAATACATTTTAATGAATAAATATTTGTTAAGGCACATGCGTGTAATAAGAAGCGACTGCGACGAAAAATAACGAGTACGAATACAAAAAATATCGGCCGAATATTCCGGAGCGCACCGAAAAAAGGCATATGCCTAAATCCTGAATATAGCTCTACAAACTAATTGGCCGAAGGGCCGCATGATAAAAGAAAGAGAAGAGAATAATATCAGCTCAACATTAATTAGCATAGTATCTTCAAGCTGTTGAGACGTGAGTGCGTCGCCGACTATTGTTACTTTCGTTGAATTCGATCGATCATTATAACCGAAATATTTTTTCCTTTCCTTCAAAGTGGATTTCCCATCGACTAATCGAAGCTGATAGTTGCCATTGTGGCAGTTTTTTAAGTAATACAGTGTAAGTCGGTGAAAACCTAGTAGTAGATTTGACGTTCATTTGTCGTTGAGCGAACTAGTACGGTTTATTGAACGTTAGTCTATCCATCTACTCAACGATTCAGGCATATTGCCATCAGACTTGGTTGTCGGTCGATACCATACGAAGCTGCCTAGTAGTTGCTCATCGACTTCTGGACAGACCCGTGATTTAATTAAGTACTTCTATTATATCCCGAGGGAAAAAAGAAATAAAAAAACTTAAACTTAATTGTAAGGGATAAAATAGTTTCCTCTCTCTTTTAGAGAGTTATTTTTTCGTTATTAAGCATGAAAAAGCAATTACAGTCAAATTCAACGAGCGAATAGATGTAAAATGACCTCCTCACTAACGAACGTCGGTAACAACAAATCATACTTCCTACATGCGCTAAAAAATCAAAATTCTATAACTTGCGATGCGCTGAGGTAAGCATATGAAGAGTCCATTATCACAAATTGGACGGATTAGAATAAAGATTCCACTACTCTCTTCCTTTTGCACCTATCATATCCATAGTTGATCCCTTCCTTCTTTTGTTCTCTCCTATCAAAATCCTATCGAAAATTTAGGGTATAGTTTACAGTGTTTAATAGGGCAATACTCTTTACGGTGAATATTGATGCATTTTTGTTGAAAATAATTGTGGAAATAGTATTAGACAGACAGCATATTAAACAGCCTACAGATAGAAAATTCGTTTACTTACTACCATCGTCTATGAAATTTTCTTTTTCAATGAGATCGTTGATAGTTGCATATATCACTGGACGTTGGTAGTAATTTCCCAAAGGCTACATCTATTTATAATTTTTTGATAGTTATTTCATAATCATAAGTATGAATATTATATTGTTGTGAAAGAAATATCTATGTCATTTGTTTATAGGAATTATTAATACATGTAAATAATACATTAGTGTCTATGTTAATTTAGTTGTTTGTAATTTTGTTTCGAATTTTATTGATTGTATCATGTACCAGTAATCATAAGTTACTTTGTATTTTATATGAGTGATAGAAGCATAAATATGGGCAAATCCATAAAGTTGTTAACTTTCTTGTCACTCGCGTTTGTTGACGAGAAAAAAATTTTTTCAAGTAAAATTACTGGGAGTATTTGAAGGAGTATTGTTTCAGCAACATTTCTAGTAAATAAAAAATTGAAGTTACACACAAAATAATCAGTTCTACGAGGATCTACATCGAGAAATACTGAAAATTCGCAAATTTAGCGTGTCACTCGAAAAAATTTGAATTTTCAATTGTTTATAACTTTTTGAACATTTGTATTATGTGTGTTCTAATAGACACACATGTTGTTAGTGTCTTTCTAGCAAACGAGCGACACTATAACTCGATGTGGTGTATTGCTGCATACATGAGGTCCCGCTCACTTGACGCTCGCTAGTTAATTATTAAATATATTTTAATCGTATAAGTATATTTATGGAAAAAAAAATCAAATAACTGGAATATATATATATGTATATAGGGGTTCTTTATAAAGTTCGAATTAAAGCTTACTCGGGAATTTTAGCAGCTTGGAACCGAGCTTGTCGAAATATCGTAGACGTACGATTTATCCCGTACACATGCATATCATGTTATCCGGGGACGTGCTTAATTTCTAAATACTTAGTCAGCGTAGGCTATAACGCTATGTAATTGAGAAGATCGCGTTACTCTGGCGCGACCGGTATTTATGATAATAAACGGAAAGAGTCGCGAAAGCAAAATACCAAAGCCAAAATAATTAAAAATTTAACGAACGCACACACGTCTACATATATACATATATATAGTTATACACAAAATGAGTATGCGGAAATTTGCCAAATGGTAATTGATCCAAATATTATTATTATAGAAAAATAGGTAAGAAGAAAATAAGTTTACACTAATAAACCTTGAGTTACTTACTTGTTAGAAGTTTATTTATTATTATTATTAGTAGGCTTGTCCTCGAAATTATAGAATTATATAATTGTGTATTTTGTCAAAATGTTCGTCCAAGAAATATAATCCTTTTATCTTTTTGCTGGTCCTTATAATAACTGTTATCCTTATACAAGTAATTATGCTGTAATCGATCTGAACGTACGCCGTATAGGTATATATATATATATATATATATATATATATATATATATATATATATATATATATATATATATATATATATGTGTGTGTGTGTATTTTATAATAATGCGTTAATAGCTGATAGCAAGGATATGAATATACTGATTCGATGAATTTAACAATAAATAAGAACTGATTGACAAAAAAAAACTGAGATCAAGACTATATGAAAGCAACTGAATAAAACTGTATGTAAATCCGAACGGAATACGACTGCTCGTGATTAGCTCTGGCGCTAGACTGCCTTTGTCAGGCGTGGGCGATACAGTCATCCCACGCGAGAGTGTTACTACCGTCATCGCATTACTACGCGGCCGCCGAACCGCCTACGCGTGCTTAACGTGTAGAATTAATACGCGCGGCGCGATTATACATAATACTAGTACATATAAGTTTTACATTACATATATCAGGATTAAGTGAATTTTAAAAGTTGTCACTTAACATCCTCCCCCCCTTAGAATGATTACCGTCCTCGGGAATTATATGTCCAATGAGAATGAGTAAACATGAATGATTAAGGATGACGGAAACGGGTAATATATGTACTATTAAAATGGTTACTATTCATGTTATATTATTATTTATTATTATATTTTTTTTTTATAAAGGTAGGAGAAAAGAAGAGAAAAAAAAAGGTTTCTAAGGATTGATAAGGTTAAAGGTTGGTAGCGTTTATGGGCATCGCTGCCAACTCGTCCAAAATGTTTTCTAGGATGGTGGTGAATACTAAGTTTTGTCCCACGGATTCTTCGGGCTGTTCTGGTTCCACCCAGTCCTCGTATTGACATTGACGTAGATGGAGGTGGAAGCTACGTTTTTCGAAGGACTTGTCACATAGCCAGTGTTTCTTCCAATCCTTACCTATTTGCTTGTTGCATAGGTTTTTATGGGCTTCGAAATCTCTCTTCATGACAATGCCTTTGCATTGTGCATGAAAGACATACTGATTCTTGTTGTGTAGAGACAGGGGTACAATTCTCTCCAGTTCGTTCAATTTGGCCCCATATACCCTATGGTATAGTCGGACAGCCTCAGCAGCAGAACCTTTGGACACAAATCGCACACTGCAAGTCAAATGGAAGTGCGAACCATATGTCGTGATAGGTGTGAAATACATATAGTCCAGAGTCCCACAGAGTGCCAAGTCTTTGAATACTTGTTCCCGCGAACAGTACATCGGGATTCGGAGGAATACCCGATGTCCAAATTCGTTTTCTCTGATCACAACTCTGGAAGAGTTGGGATTTAAGGACTGGATACTATCATTCAGGTAGTTGTTTAAGGCCGAATGATAGTCCGCGTGGGCGCAGTAGCGTATACGTAGGGACTTGTGTCCATCCAGTCGAGACTCTAATTGATGCAGTTGTTCGATAGGCCCATAAGTTAGAAGGTTTTGGACTACATCAGATTCCGCGGTAGTCCAAGGGAAAGTAATCACTAAGGTGTTTTCTTCTTGATGGTAGGGTGCTACTGTGACCCCTTTCATTAAGGCGTTCATCCTATTGGGCGTTGACATGATTATGTCCTGTAAGATTATGTCCATTTATAAGAAAATAATAGTAGGGTAAGGATATACAAGAGAGACATTAGTAATAGTTTTAAAGAGAGTATATGAATGAATGAAGTTGTGAGTGATAAAGACAGTCTCTGAAGTCCGATTATATGATTATTGTCCTTTTACCCGTTTTACATACTAAAATTTAAGGTAAAATAATACAGGTTTTGATAAATAAAAATGTTCGTAACATTACGAAGCTATATAAAATTGCATATATAAAATAGTTCATGTAAGAGAGGAGTAAAAAAAATAAAAAAAAATAATAAAAAAAATATTTTCTTATGACGCAGCTGTATCTTCTAAGTATTTCTCATCTTCCGAGTTGACCTCAGTCTCGATTTCTCCGTCAGTCATTTCCAAGTCTTGTTCGATGACCGTTCTTTCTGGACGGTCATATTCTGAATTTGGTTTCTTCCTGTATATTTCAGTAACGTCCATTCCATGTCCTATTCGTGATTCGGTTAATGTATTAGAGGAGCCGGCGGCTCCGGTGTTTGTTATTTGTACCAATAGATTTGGCATGTATCTAGGTTTTTCCGACAGTCGTTCGAGTGAATTCGATGTACGCCGTTTT